CAGTGGTCCCCGGTTCAATTGGGTACCTTGGACGTCTGACCCCATCCGAAGGGCGTATGATCCGATGCACTGGACACCAGCTCCCAATGGACTGCAGTTTTCATACACCTCTCCGCTACCTTGCGGGTCGGGCTTTGACTAGCCGAAGGCTCCGGTTGTGGATTCCTCAAGAAAATTCCCCGGCCTTGACCTCGGCAATCTAGCATGTCCTGGAGCAAAGCATGGAACGTTTTTTTAAAGATTATTGTACTATGATTTGTTTGGCACCCCTGTAGTCAGGCGTGTGTGAAAAATTAAGTGTGGCAAACAGCAACTTTTCGCCTAAAATAGGTGTTCCAGTCAGAACAACAGGTTTGGTTCTTGACTTAAAAAAAAAAACGGGAGAATGATATTGTCTGGTTGGAGTATCACAACTTGATTGAACGGTAACGAAGCGGCGGCCTATACCTGATGGATGATAAGAGAAAAATCAGGCGCGGTTAGGATTCGCGCTTAGTGATGATTTGGCTGGAAAGAATGATCAATATGTTGTTTATGCAAAACAGTATTAAACACAAACTGATCGGACCGAACTTTGCGATGCGATAGTGGAGTGAACGGCGATGACAAAAATCCATCTGCGGTAGTTCGTGTGATTATCAGTATGCATGCACTTCATGAAAATCATTCTTGTTAACAAGAAGCACAGTTCCAAGTAGTTCCGACCGAGTTCTTCATACCCCGGGAAGTAAGGACTAAGGTGCGATGCCCGAAACAAGTTTGTGCAAAGATGTGGTGTGCTGCATCGTACGGAGAGACGGAACAGTTCGATCATCTGTTTTCGTCTGGTGATCAAGCGGGGATAGTATGGACGCCTTGTGTTTATGCTGATACCGCGGGTTCGATACTGTGTGTTTGATCGATCGATTCGCACTGTTGACGAAACTGAACAAGATTGAAACGGTGCAACCTAGCCATCCAGAACATTTTAGCATTACTTTACAAACGTCATAAATATCTGATGATGAAATCAGGATGTGATGTACATGTAAGCGCAAAAAAAACACTAGAATGAAAGAACCGCATGAGGAGGAAGGTATGTCAGTATGTTTCCCCGCGTTCAACAGGTAAGCTCTATAGTCACGACAAGCAATGAATAGCCGGAAGTGTGATGACAACGAGCTGGTTATCACCAAATTTTCGTGACGGTGGGACTCGAACTGAAGATTTTGAAACAATAAACACAAGTGATAACATCCATAATCGGTGTATACGGTGCAAAGAAAAACATTGCGAGCAAAAATGTTTCCACGGAGAAATGAGTGGATCTATCATACCAGTCAGGAGATCACTCAGTGATATATGTATATCCCTAAGTCCTCAATAAGGGGAAAAAAACTTGTTACGGATATTAGAGATTGCCAATTTTCTTCCAATAGGCTATCACAGTGAACGATACGTAAACTAGGAGAGGACGTAATTGGCACGAGGCGATGATCAAGCGGTATAAGCTGTCAGTCGGCCGTTCCGCAAGTAATTCGTTCGAACCCCAGCATCGACATGATATTTTCCAAGTCATTGGTCTGCTCTGGTAATCTCTGTGTGACTGCAATTAATCAAACCCTGCATATATGTATATATATATATATAACTATAGTTAGTACCTTAGATCTCACAACTTGAAAAGCCAGTAATCTGAATTGTACGAGAACGTTTTTTCGGTCCTTTAATTATGGGTCATACGAACATCGATAGAACGAATAATAAAAACAATACTGGTTAAAAAGTGTTGAAGAACACTCTTACAGTTTGATAATGCACCGGAGACATTGATGGATACGTACCTTGACCTGGAGAGGACTCAAACATGTTAACGTTTGTTTTATCCAGCGCAATGGACACCGGGGGTAACGCATGAATACGGCCATTAGATAAGTGAATGATGACATCGAATAAGAGCATCTTATTGATCCAGAGACCATCAGAAGAAGTGGAAAATATGACTCGTCGAACCCCATCATGCAGACCCAGATCTTCCAATACCAAGCTTTGATAAACAGAGTCCGGTGTTTCGGATTGTGGAACCTTGAACAGAAAAAAAATGTGGGGAAAAAACTGGCAGTTAACGATCGGGGTGGGGATGGGTGGTGATATTTGCAACAGATGAGCGCCAGTGGCGTTGGTGAATGAAAATGCGATGGCATTGAAAACAAATGTTGTTCCGGTAGTCCGCGATACTGGTTGGACACCCAATCAGGAGTCTGCATAATCTCAGTGAGGAACACTTTTCTGCATCTTTCTGTAAAGGAACAGAAAAATGCGTCCGCGTCTCGTCGGACGCCTTTTTAAAATTTCTCATACCATACCCAGAAACATTCGAAAAGAATTAGAAAACATCTTTTAACCACACCTACAGTACATTGAGAATGCTCGACATCTCTACCAACCATGCCCATCACCAAACCCCTCTCATATCACACCATTCACCACATTTGAAACCGTAACACTTGCTTGTTTAAAACGATGTTTTCTGAGTATGTCATATGTTATTCATCACAAATAGTCGCTATCCTGCCCTACGTTACATTGCTTCTTTGAGTTCAACTTGCTGAGTTTATCGACACTTCAACAAGCGTACTGTTTCTGTTGCCCCTACCCTGAAATGGAATCCATTTGATCTTTGGTCGGCTGCTCCCGTGATCCCATGATTTTGACAATCCTTCAGGCTTTACATTCACTTGCAATTCTCAGCAGATTCAGTCAGCCATACAACAAGCTCTACGGTTGCCAATTTTTTCAATTAGTTCAGTTCAGTTTTCACAACCATTAACCGTCACGTAAAGGCGGCGGTTTGGGTTGCTGTCTTTTGGTTACCCATTTGGACAAAAGAGCAAAGAGAAGACCGAAGCAAGCCTTTCCCGAGATTATTTAATACTGCACGACTTACGTCCAGGGCGATTTCGCTGCATCTCAACATGGTGCGTACTCACCCAGTGTCTCTAACCCCCATGATGTCGGAGTCCCCGTCCAGAGGGCTTAACGGTACCTATGTGACCCAGTCTCCTGGTTAGGGTTTTCATACCCGCATGCTAGGTTTTAGTTTGACTGCCCTTGACTTTCTACCATCCGCTGCCTAACTCGGCAGACATCGCGCGCCATGGCAACCTATTTGGTGACATGCACAGCAAAATTCCCAAATAACATAGTCTATGGAGGCCGACTATGAGTTCCAGTGGATGACCGCGATAGACTAAAACTCTGCGCCTAACCTCAGCGTTGCCTGTCCGGTTGCCCCACCAGTGCAGTGCAGACAGCGGCGTTTAAACACCGACAATCTATTTCTATCCTGTTCCCATAATGATCAAGTCTCTGCGATGTATAGTAGAGCTGACCTAACTACCGCAGCATATACTCAACCCCTCACAGACGGTCAAATTCCGTGACGGCGACACAGATATCTCAAGTTGACAGATGCGAACCCAGCCTTGTGTATGCGAGCTGACACTTCATCTTTGACGAGTCCGCCTGGTGAGATAGAGCTGCCCAAATAAAAAAAAATTGCCTACTTTCTCTACTACTTCCCCAGTCAGTATGAGAGTGGGGGCTGAGCCAACCCAATCTTTACACTTTGAAGGTGCAAAACGCATACCGAACATGGCTTCATTAGCACTCAAACTATCCACAAAACCTTGTAGCTTACATAGATCTGTACTTAGCAGTACAATGTAGTCTGCATATCCCATATCGGACAGTCTGCCGTCTGGAAGAAAATTGATGCCGCTGTTTTCAAGATTGAATGAATAACAAAGCTAAATAGAAACGGAGAGATGGCAACCCTGACGAACACCACTTTCCGTAGTGAACTCGGGCGAAAAAGTACCGTAAGCTCGAAATCGGCTTCGACTATTAGTATGAAGAGATTGCAACATTGAAATAAACTTCTCGGGCACACCCTTTAGAGTGAGGCGGTGACAGAGTATAGAGCGATCGACTGAGTCGAAATTCGCTTTCAGATCGAGGAAGATAGAAATGGTAGGTCTATGAAAAGAGTGTCAGTGTTCTAACATGTGTCGAAGGGTGAAAATGTGGTCTACATAACCTCGACGAGCTACAAAATCAGCCTGATTCTCACGCGTGCACCGTTCACGTGTGGCAGACAATCGACGGAGTACAACACCAGCGAGAAACCTCCAGACAACGTTGATTAATCTTATTCCTTTGTGGTTTTCACAAGGGGATTTGTCAACTTTCTTGTAAATCAGTATGATGATCGATTCACACCACGGGGTTGGGACCTGTTCCCTCTCTGACACACTGTTCTTCGGTTGCAAATCCTTCGATGCTTGTTTGCTGACCTCGTTCACCTGTGCGACCACTCTAAACTGGGTGTTTTTTCATCTTTCATTCTTACTTCTTTTTATTTAATACACAATGATAGAATTTTCATTAAAGGGGAAGCATCCAATCGAAGTGCTAGCATACAAGACACAAAGGAGGAAGGTTAGGCGCTGGTGGTCGGATTCGGACACACTCCCTCTGGGGTGATAATTTGATGACGTTACCACCAGGCCACCACCATCCCGATGTGCATGTGATGCGATGTGATAGATCAAAAAAATTTTTATCCACATGTTTTTTGCATGCGTACGCCTATATTTGACGTACTTTAAGGGGGTAGTTGATTTCGGATCTTTTAAACGCAGATGGATTGTACCTTTGGAAGCTTAAGCAATTGTGTGAAAGCAACATTGTACAATGAAATATAAACGGATCATGAAGGATGACAATAAAGGATAGCGCGAATACCCCCAAAAACTATTTTAAAAGCACTTGCCTCACAAGTGCGATGAATAGAGGATCGTGATGTGACGCTGTACGCGTCAATCACAAACCGATTTTCAGTTTGTGTAAACAGTAGCGGTACAAAGAGATGCTCCGATTCCGGGTAGGGGACCAATGTGGCACGACAACATCCGGTACCACTGTTGTCTAAAAGACCGGGTTGTAGACGTCCTTCACGTGTGAGATGAAATGCAGTTGTGTTCTTGGCTGTGTACAAGCCCCATGGGGGGTTTCGTAACCGATGCACAAAAAGTGGCAAATGTCCGACCTGAACATGAAATAGGAAACGGAGGAGAGGAAAAGTGTGTGTTGAGGAGCAGGGAATGGTTTAAACACAGTTTAGACGAGAAGTAGCCAAATGGTAATTTGAACGGGAATTTTTAGGCTCCAATTGATTGGGATTAGGGGCAAGTATTTTTATCACACCTAGGTGTGATGGGCAGCAGACGGGGTGAGCCCCATAGTCACGAGAACCTGCTATTCAATGGTGGAAACCGGTAACCTAAGGCCCGGGACTCGGAATGGTGAACCACATAAGGCCCCACTAGGATAGACGTGGTATTGAACCAGACGACAGCAAAGCTGCCTACCATCAAAGTCGGGCGGTGGGGCTATAACCTGGGGCCACAAGGTCCAAAGCACGGCGGTGACAGCAACTGAACCACTGCATCACCACCACCACCACTAATTGTGATGATCATTGTATTTATCACTGCCAATCAACAGGACAACCACTGACATCGGTGCCATGAAACATGAAGTCTGTGTATTATAAACAAAGAGAAATGAGCTGCTTTCGAATGAAGAAGCCTGTTGCAACAGGTGCGCTGATGAACGCGGTTTTAAAGCATATATGCCAATTTTCGAAAATCAGAGGTCCCCATTTGAAAGCGGGCAATGAACAACCAGAAAAAGCTTGACACTAACTGATGCCTACCGATCACTATCTATTCCCTTTCATTTTCAGCAAACACTTGCGCGAGAGAATCGGACAAGTGGAACCTATTTTCATAGTTGGCATGTGCAATGAATGGTCGAGGAGAGGAATCGTAATCCACAAGGATTGGAGCTGATTAGTGTTTGAAAAAACGCTGTGACGGATGACACTAACCNCTAACCGATTTCAGTAATGTGTCCAACACGGTGATAGTCAAAGAGGGCAAATCGATGAACGACTTGATGCCACACAAAGGGGCATATGATAAACTCGATCCTTCAACAAACAACTAATTATTGTACGCCATCCAAGCTTTATTGATCTGTTCGGCGATCATAACTGATACAAATCGCTTATGCCCGTACAGCCTCGGAGACTTGTAAGCTTTTGATGATGAAAATTCGCCGGTCAGAGTGCATAGTTATTCATTTTTTGTTCAACTGGAAGAACACCGCCGGTGTTTGGCTTCGCGGGTTCGCTTTTCCATTGTGGACGTACGCATTTGTTTTTTGTTTTTTATATAAACAACAGGATCAGCCTGCCAGAAACCGGGAGTGCACACAAGAATGATGACTGGTCTGCCATCACTTACCCGGAAAAGTGAATCAGGTTCGGTGGAGAGCGCTTTTCCTTCGTTAAGAAAAGCAATTACACCAACCTCATGGGCGATGCAATATTGATCGATCGCAGCGCGCAAATCCTCAGGAAGACGAAGATAAAGAGAGAATTCTTGGAATATGATCAACTGAATCGAAAACAATTGCCCATCACGATTGTCGGATGAGCGCAGGAGATCGAACAGGCCCGAATTATGGCTCCTTTCAATGTTGATTATTCTGTAGGGGAGAAACATGTGGTCCAAAAGTTGTACAATATCAGCAGTGTTCGTCCTGCCAGGCGTTACAAGAATCACAAAGTTACGCCGAGTTAGGGGAGAGTGGGTGGAAAATTGAACTGGACGACGAGAACGATTCACATTAGTTCTGGTTGTTCGAATTTCGTGCGATTGTACCACATGTTTTACGGTTGGCAAATGCTGAATATATGGACTTGGCAGATCAGAACAATCGACCTGGGGTGAATCTAGATGTCCTGTGTGATTGTGAATCGACGGAGACAAAAAATAGAAAAAGCCGATGACCACAATACCAATGGCCGATAACTTGAGGGGTCGTAATCTGCGGCAGGAGCGGAAGGGAAATTGTGAACAAGCCTTTCGAAAGGCGTGAGACAGCATGTCCTCATATCGGGCAAAATGGACGTATGGATCTGTCGCGAATGCTAAAATAAAAGGGTAAAGTTAGTAATAAGTAAGTAGTTTGCACGACAACAACCACTGTTGCCTTTTGCAAGGGAAAATAGACTGAGAAACTAAGCTAATACTAACACCAGGAATAACAGTCTTGGCAATAGGATATGGTGTTTATCACAACGAATCGCAAAGAAGAGCTATTTTAAGAGCTCTGTGTTCGGTTTGTGTAACCTTGATTCGTGTATATTCGTGATTACGTGTTACCGGTTGACTGTTGTAATCATAATGGGATAACAAAGAAAAATGAGGAAAAAATCGGAAGTGAAGTGAAAACTGAATACCATAGCAACAAAAGTGAGAAAAATATTTACAGAAAAATTGCTGGATGCATGAGGAAAGTAATCAGGTGTGTATGAGGATCGCTGGTGAAACGATTCAGCCACATCAACTGGTCTCTATCTCTCGATTACATTAATTCTGAAGACCTCAACCGAAAAGCCTAACATGATTTTGTAGTTTGAAAATAAGTAGGATATTCTGAGCATTGGAAGTTTGTCTCGTAAGCTCCATTCAGGTGGCAATTGGAATTTAAGGCTAGAACAGAACGGACGCTGGGTCCGAGCTATTAAAATGAAAGATACTGATGGGCAATGAGTTAATTATCAAACATCAGAGATCAGAGACGGATACCAGGGTGGATGGCAGAAGTTTTTCGATGTTCAAATCATTCCATATAAAATATTAGGCATACACATAAATATACACACGTGATGCAGATATTTCACTACTGTTTGAGTTCAGAATATGTCAAACAAGTCAGAATACAATACTCTTTAATATAAATAAATTCGGGATATCATCGAATCTTTGAACCAATAGCAGTTCTTGAAGGGAAGTTAGCTAAAAACCCTTATTCCAAACTAGCCACACCTTCCCCGATGTGCTGAATGTGGGCTGAATACTGCCAGGTTGCCCAGGCCAAGGCAGGTGAATAAACTTGAGGAATCCACAACCGGAGCCTTGGGCTAACCAAAGCCTGACCCGCAAGGCAGCGTGTGAAAACCGCAGTCCATTGGGAGCCGGTGTCCGGTTCATCGGATCATACGCCCTTCGGATAGGATCAAACGTCCAAGGTGCTCAATAGACCCCATTGCCCAAATGAGCCGGTGACTGTTGCCACAATCGGACTGGTGTGCGTGTGGTTCGTAAGCCTCTTCTTGGTTGGTTTGGAATCAGGGTTTTTGGTCAACTCCCCTAGGTGAACTATCAGTGGTCCACCAACCGGGGTATAACCCCGGATTTCTGCTTTTCTTCTCACTTTGGTCGGAAAACACCGCCAGGAGAAGGCAATGAGTGGGACTTCCTCAGCAGAGGTTATTTGGGACGCTCGGTCGTATGGGAGCATTTCGCGAGGTGCAAGGGAAGAGTGAACAGCTACAACCCTAGACACTCATCCCCGACCATACTGAGAACTTCGGAGGCTATAACCTAGCAGGCGGGTAAGAAAACCATAACCAGAGGATTCGTCATACGGATTGTGTTTGGTCCCCGGTGGGGAATAATGGGACTAACCTAAGCAGTGGTTGGGGACACAGCGATCGATACACCTTAGCATCGGACATAGTCATGCTCACGAATTCACTCGTTTTTCATATGAATCTTAGCTACCGGCATTCTGTTTTTCTTTTCTATTCTAATCTCCATATTGTAGCTCTCGTTTCTCATTGAGTGACCAAACGAGTAGCAGTCAGAAACAGTACAAGAAGATGCACTTGTTAGTGGTTATTCAGAACGGACTGAAGTGAGCATTAAAGGTAACCAATCCAATTAGCTAAGCGACTGAGTTGCTTGTGATTGATGAAAAAGTGGTAGATCAGCTCACACGATAGCCTGGTGGTGATCGCGACTGATGTTAAAAATAAATAATTTTCTTTGGCGCTCTCGTGTCATGCTCAGCTTTTGACCGTCAACATCACCATGATCTAGCCTGCCGTTGAGTTCACCTTTTAGATAGTGCAAAAGACGCAGTCCATTCATTCAAAGGGGGTAGGTGGTGAAGAAGTGAATTTAGTGTTTAGTAAAACATGTCGTTCACAATTTGTGGGTACAACTTTGTATCCTTGGATGCTTCTGTTTGGACCATGGGTAGATTTCTGTGTTTGTTGCGTACTGTGGATGTTTTCAAGACCGATATGAGTCTTCCAGCTCACATACATTTCATAGTGTTCAACATTTGGATATACGTCTGAACTGACACAATCTATCGGGTTTGTCTTCAGTTCCAATTTTCTAGGATATGCGAAACGCATACCGTACAAGTTTTTCCTAAACTACTCAGTTCTACTCGCTAGCGGAGGTTTTCGTTAGCATTTCGGAATACTCTCATCAATAAATAGTAGCTCATCGAAGTCAGGTTGAATCAACATGCCCGTGTCGAATTAGGCAAGTTAATTGGGTTCGAATATCACGTGGTTTCACTCTTTCCATGCATAGGTTTGGCATTATTCGTCGAAGGAAGTCTTTCATACTGCTAAACAGATCGATGCGAGTCAGTTTACATAGAAGTTAAAGGATATGAGTGAAGAAAACTGAGAAGGAAGCAAATATTCCAAGCGTTTTATCATGAAATTTTAGGGTGTCGGTACTCGGTCCGAATAAAAATAAGTAATATTTTAGTGTGTCGTATATTTGTGTGATCAGAGAAATTCCTAGTGATATCACTTGGAAGACGCTATTTTTCCTAATGGACTCCACCGCTGAATCTTTAAGTTCGACGGAAAGCCTCATCCGCAAGATACCATGAAAACACCGAGAGCAGCAAATTTATGACCGTTGGCGCCCCAGGATGGTTCCCGCACCATTCAGATAATCCGGGTTTTCGGTTTAAGGAAATGCAACAGAGCTAAACTAATTTTTCGTACTAAATCCGGATGTTTTGTATGAGAGGGCAGTACAACTTCAACACTAAACTCAGTTACGTCGTTTGCAAACTTCGTGTACGAGTGGATATTTAGTATTTTTGTAACATCAGTTTCGTCACAGCGACCTGTTCCACTTTGTATTTATGGAGCATGCGCAAGGTTTTGTACAGCTGTGCAAAAGAAACCCATCACAGTTTGTGACCTTTGCATAGTCGTGGCTCCTTTCCTGAAAGTTGACTGCATATCTATACGATCAATAAATAAAAAAGGAAGTATAACATTTATTTCGTTTATTATTGTTATGCTTCCAGTACCATTACACAGAGTCTGTTTTTCCATGTTGAGCTCTGTTTGATTTGCAGTGACCGGTGTAATAGAGTTTGGCTTATGCCAATCTGGACGATCGGTGATGTGTCGGGCATAGTTTATGACCAAGTCAGAGGAGGGAAGAGGAGGAAAGTTCAACTTCACTTGCGAAACAACGTACTTGAGGCTCACAGATGGATTTGCCCTACTCGAAGTCAAGAGTTGCTCTGGGAAGGGGGGTTGGATTGCGGTGATGATTCTATTTCGGTCGACCATTGGTGACAGTGCTTCTGAAACGTTTTCCTGACACTCGGGGTTCAGAGAAGACTCCACTCAGTCAGCCGTACAAGTGTAATGAAATAAACTGACCAAATCTATGCCTTATAGTCACCCAGAGAATTCATATATTATCCGCAATCAAAATGTTTCATACTGCAATATAATATCATATGCAATTCAGTGATATGATTGACCTGCCACTGTTACCAGTGTTATCTCCCACTACTCAGATTATATTATTCATTGTTTGATTTCAAGCTAATTGCACAAAGACAATAGAATGAAACTTAATTGGTCACGAGGTTATTAGGAAGTATTGTTTTCTTGGCATAACAAATCCAAGTTGTGGATTTTGCATCCTCATGCAAGTTTTCATTTGTTTTCTCCACCAGAATGTCGATCAAAATCGATGCGAAACTATTCCCTCTTACCTGTTTGACGCTGATGTGCGCATGGTTTATACACAGGTAAGACTGGCGCGACAGTCGTGACATTCATGACACTCATGACTAGGTTTTAATTCTTGTCACATTTTTAATGTTTTTTTAACATAACAACTATTTTCCAGTCACTGCGAGGGAATGCACTATTTCTGATTTTTTACTACCTGACCGCACGCACAGTTCTTGGTTGATTTAGTCAACCAGATATTCCAAACACACGACCATTGGCTCATTCGTGTTTCATTCCCACAGTAAAGGAGGTCATTGGAGGCGCATACTCATCTGTTCATTCAAAACTGGATAAGCTCTACGTGTGGTGACACTTGAGTCTGATGCTCCGGGCACATTTAATTACCTTGGTAATCCGAGGATTTTCAGTGTGGATTAAAGTTCTTTTCAATAAATATCATTGTGTGATAAATAGCAAAAGATGGAAATCCAATAGTCATGGGAATTTCCGTTCTTTCACTTTAGTCGGAGACTTAAGCTCGGAAACTTGGAGTGGCGAATCACAAACGGCTCCAATAGGATGGACACTTTATTCAGTCAGACCTCGGGGAAGCTAACTAAAACGGAAACTGAATAGGGATAGCAAAACTCAAAAGGACGCCAGTCATACAGGCTGCAACTGCTTGAGGTCTAAAGGACAATTAAGTAAAACCATTAGTATTAGCACTGACAAATGTAAAAAAAACAAGTCTTTCTCATGAACTGTTTGCGGATTAGAACACAAGCCCGAATAATTCATACTCTTTCTTGTTAAGGGGTTGTTCTTAGTGGGGATACATTTTCACGCTGAATCGAAAGGCCATTTCGCACGGGGAGAGGGGAGGGGTGGGGTAAGCCATATGTGTCTGTGTTCAGGTGAGATTGATTGTTATCGGAGTGTTAGTTTTGGTGTTGGTGTTTGGGCTGATGATGATGATGATGATGATGATGATAAATCTGCGTTCAGCGTCATCTATCTTGTGCTGCCTAATCAGTCTGAAGCAGGCCGCCTACACACACTAGCCATCACTAAGACGATAGGCATTCGCATTTTCTCACTAGAACCATACACAAAAAAGCTACTGGTTCAAGCTCTCCATTTACCCTGGCTCCGAATCCATCATCAACATCACCACCGTCACCAACACTCCGATCACAATCGATTTCACCCAAACAGATACACGGGGCTCACCCCACCACTCACCTCTCTGCACTCCAAATGACCTTTTGAAACAGCGTGGAAATGTGTCCCCACTGATACAAACACCATATATGATCTGTACAAGCGCGATTACGAATCATTCAAAAACTATTGTTCGCCTTCGGACTGGTGTTCTTGTAGACAATATATCATCACGATTTCCCCCGTAAAGCATAGGTTACTTCA